TATATATATATATATATATATATATAATTATTATAATATTATACACATATTGTGGATATAGATGCGTACCTATAATATACTCTACAAAATAACATCTGATAAGTCAGTGTTTGGAGTCCACTACAGGTCGGCATATGTACCGACTACTGATGAAAAATTAAAAACATAATATACATACTCACAGAATCGAAATTTCTACTAACCTGGCCACCGATCAGACCCAGATCTGATTCTTCATTGTTTTCCATGCTGAAGCTCTATATATGCAACTTGGCTAACACACTGATTAATTTCTCTATTGGGTGGATAAAAGTGCTGATCCTTGTATGTAACATCTAACTATAGTGCATACGGGAGAGGTTATTTAAAGCCGCTGCTCAAACGTTGTCTGTGAACTCTGGTGTGGCGAAATTAAATTTTTGACTTTGTCAAGGAAAAAAAAACTCGTTGCTATCGAGGGGGATACTTATTTTTAGAACTATTTACAATCACAGATTCGATCTATAATAACGTTGAAACTGGAACGCAAATAAAGTGCTTTTTTTTTAGTACTGTCATATTTATTACACGTATGTTTATAGACAAACTCCATTGTTTTACGGCTATGACATAAAATATAGACAGTATTTGTTTTAAAACAAAACGTTTTACCTGCCTTATTTTCAGGAGGCTATGATTTGGGGAATTGGGGTTTTGGTTAATTTCCGAGGACTGTAAACAAATCATAATTATATAAAAAAGCGTAAAACGGTTTGAGAAATAATTTTTTTTGCGGAGCGGGTTTCATACAGGTACTTTTTATGATTTCAGTCGGTCTGCAGTCTTCTACTCCAACACCACTGTCTTTGTTAAAATTAGGCTATGGATACTACTATCTTTCCGTGTTCTTTTCCATTGTATCAGTCAATATCCCTCTCAGTGTTCTGGCTCAGCAGGGTTTTCAATCTTGCGCTTTTTGCAGTAGTGTTGACCGACAGCCGGCCCTTCCGCGTTTGAGGTCGTAGGCAGTGAACTTGGCGGAACCAAGCCCGCATGTCTGGCTAGTTGACTCATGGCAACGCTAAAGTGTAATGGAAATAATATAACTATATAAGAAAATATACATTAAGGGGAATATATGCTTTACGAGGCATTTACACCGTTTTATTAGCAAATGTGGTTGTTCGATCACAGTGAAATTAAATCGCGTAGGTCGACATATGGAGTATCAGCTGGTTGGTGATACATTGCAGTACAACTCAGACAAGGATTACTATAGATTTTGTGTAGTAATATATATGTGCAGTAAACAACACTGGAGTCTCTTTTGCGTGTCTGACTGTGTCAAAAGTTTAGAAGCAATCTGCATTTCCTTTTGGGACATAACAAAGCACTCAAATTTGTATATATATATATATATATATATAAATAAATTAGGTACAATCCGTATGCGAGGTTCAATTTTTCTGCTCTACGGCAGTTGAAAAATTAACGCAAATTGCAACATTTCCGAACAGATAAACACATACTCTGCCAGAACCAAAGCTGCCATTGCCTCGACAATCGGCACAGCCCTGGGCACCACACACGGGTCGTGTCTACCCTTCGCTGCGAGACTAGAATCCGTTCCATCGAATGTACACGTAGTTTGTTCGCGACTGATGGTGGCCGGAGGCTTGAATGCTACTCTTACATTGATGGGCATACCGTTGGAAATACCGCCCTGTGGTGCGCGTGGGGAATTGGTTTAACTCTGAGCCAATATACGCTACATTTGTCGGGTCAACATTCTCATTTTAAATGCACATGATAATGATGCGGTATATTGAAAGTACTCGCGAGCGAAATCGACACGAACGGTCGTAAAATGTCATACCTGCACACCTCCTGAGTTATTGGTCGAAGTGCCGACTTTACCGTTACCTAATTTGACGAAGGGATCATTATGTACACTACCATTTTGCTTAGCGCCCTCAAATCCAGACCCTAGAATGTTGGTTACAAAATATGGGTTCAAATCGTGTTCATTGGTGCTTATGATGGACGTGAATGACATTGTGTACATATAAGTGTACATAGAACCACTTACCAATCTCGAAACCCTTTGTTGCTGGGATTGACAACATGGCGTGCGCGAGCAAAGCTTCAAGCTTATCGAAACATGGCTCACCCCAGCCGGTCGGCACACCCCTGACGACACAGGACACCACACCTGTTCAAACGAGTATAACGACTGATTGATTAGGTGCATATACAGAAAAAAATATTCTATGACTTTTGACGCGTGGTATCATGAGTAGGGTCATGGAAAAAAATATGTGTAGTATGTCCTAGCTAGAGGAGGAATATTTGCATAGAATCACATAAAGTTCCAATCCTTGAACATAACTGGGATACACGTACCACGGATTATACTATGGAAACATCTGGCACCAACTCAAAAACATTCATTGCTTTATACATTATTTAGAGTCAGAAGATATGATTAGACATGCACTGATCATTTTGTATAGCATTATTTCTATAGAAACAAAAACGCTCGCATATGCTTACACTGTACACACAATACAATTACTATATCTATATATATATATATATATATATATATATATATATATATAAATGTATATATATGGATTTCACAAACATAAAATCCATATATACGTATACACACACACGAATCCAATATATATATATACAATCAGTTGGCAGGCGAGCGATATATAATGCACAGCAACACCAACAAATTTAAAGCAGAAAGCGTATACAATTGCATTCAGTCGAAGTAGTACGATCTACCTCCCACAGAGTCGTGCTCATCGGCACACTTCCGGATTAGCGTAGACATTTCCTCTGTAACAGTAGCGTCAGGACACCTCAGCATCGTCTTGTCCACATCAGCGCGCGTGATATTCTTGAAAGTCTCGTCGCTCTCATTCATCTTAATAGGTCCTACAGCGCTTACATACGCTACTATCTCGATACCGTACATCAACTTGAGCCATTTCTCGGCTATACCAGCAGCAGCAACACGCCCTATAGTTTCCCGTGCAGACGATCGGCCCCCGCCGCTGGTTGCTCTAATACCATACTTTTCTTGGTATGTAAAATCTGCGTGCGATGGCCTAGGTACATCGCTCATCTCCTTGTAATCACCGGGTCGCTGGTCGTTGTTGTGTACAATCATGCAAATAGGTGTACCTAGTGTGTATCCACGCTCACATCCAGACATAATGGACACTGCATCCGCCTCGTTTCGGGGCGTGGTTAGGTCACTCTGTCCTGGACGTCTCCGTGTGAGTTGAGTCTGGATATCGGCCTCACTCAATTCCATTTGGGGCGGTACGCCATCTACTATACATCCGACAGCTTTGCAGTGTGATTCACCAAAGGTGGACACACGGAAAAAGCGACCGAAATGTGACATGTTGTTAATATGTAGCTATATTATGACAAAACTAGAACGTATACAAAAGACAAAATGTGTGTATATGGTATAGCATATATGTATATATATTATGTATGTATATGTATATATATTTATATATATATATATATATATATATGTGTGTGCGTGTCTATGTGTGTAAGTATGTATTCTAGCTTGACAGCGTTTGTTCCAAATATATACTGCATATACCTATGTAAATATTCAGCAAGAGAGAAGGGTTAGAAATATCGGCTCATGCCTCACAGAGTCATCACAAGGCCGGTTCTGATATTTGTATCACTTTTATTTATTTACACATATTTATTTGATGACATCAGGACGCGTCCGACTGCCGACACGGCCTGCCGCCTGCCCCTCGCCCCCTCCTGATAAACATTTGTATGTTTTTATTTTTTTTGGTATTTTAGAAGTATTATTGTAAAAATCATTATTGGGAATATTCAATTGCACACCTGCCAATAGCTGCCATCTATTATTTCTAAAAATAGTATTATATTTTTTCTAAAGAAAAATAACAAAAAAGGTTCGCAGTTTTGAGTTTGGTCGTTCGCGGTTTGACCGTTCGATCAAAAGTTCAGGTGACAGACGACACGGGGGAGTGAGTCAGGCACAAGGTCAGGTGTGTCTCATCCCACTCAGCACACTGAGCACAGTCTAATCTCAGAAAACATCAATGTGATGATATCGGTTGGCTTAGGCGTATAATTCAAAACAAGACGCTTTCTCACGTGAGGGCGGCAGTTGGCCTGTTCGACTTACCTGGTTACATGTGTAGAAGATGGAAGGTTTGCCACACCAGTACTTCCAACGATGACCATTTTACTAATGTGTCATATCGATGGAGAAGGTGGTTGTGTTTTGTTTGATCATTTAGATACTATAAATTCACTGGTGTAAAAAATACGATCGAATACATACTAGGTACCCGTTCTACATTAATATTAATATCTATTTTCATATACCTAGCACACGTGGGATAGCAAAAATTACATCACTTCCAGATTTTCAAACACCAGAATAACAAATAGTTCTTTTGACAATTGAGGCGC